CTAACCTTTAGTGGCTGCTTATTAAGCAATTATTATACCATCTCACCACTAGGTGGTGGGGAAGCAGGTAACATTGGGGTGCCACTCTTCCTGTCCACAAGGCCAGAAGGCTGAGCCCTAATGGTCCTGAGCAATCAAGCACCCTGAGATAAGCTGAGGAAAGACAACCAGAAGCCTTGTAGAGATCTGAAGAAGACTCTTCATCCTTCAGCTGTACTATGCTAGCGGTCCTCCTGGCCAATGGTTGTTCTGCAGCAGACAGGACTGCCTCCCTATTCTCGTCCTGAGAAGCCTTCAGCTCTTCCTATGTCAGTGGCCACACAGCCAAGAGCCAGCTCACCACTGTCCCCGCAGAAATCTCTTGGCCTGGGGCCCTCCTTGCAGCACACGCAAGAGGACAAGCTTACAAAGGCAGTAGAGCATGATCCTGTGCTGGAGGAACTATGTAAGCCCCTGTGCTGCAAACTTTGAAATGTCACTTTGAATTCAGCCCAGCAAGCCCAGGCTCATTACCAGGTAAGAGAGCAGAAGGCAACAGCTAGCCACATTGCTTGTTCCACGGGAAGTCTAGCAGCCTTTTCATGGGTTCCTTGTGATTGCAGAGATCCAACAGAGTTGGACAGAGTTGCCAGACATGGAGAGGGTGGGAGAAGGTGTACAGATCAAGACCCCCCTTTTGGTTTCCTTTCCAGAAGGGACATTGGATTATGGTTGTTGTAGCTCTACAGGGTCCACTGTGGAGCTGTGAAGCATTTTTTTGCCTTGTTTGGAATTGAGGATAGAGATGGCTAATCTTTTGAAAAACATTGCTTTTCAGTGAAATATTATGTTTCGACCAAAACAACATTTCTTGTTTGGGTCGAAATTTTTTGAGTGTTTTGCAGAAATACCAGGTAGCAAAACCTGAAAGTTGTTTGACAAAAAATTGATTTTCCAAACAGAAAAATATTTCAGATGTCATTTTTTCGTCACAAAACCCAAACTATTTTAAGGGGGAATTAAAAAAAAAAGAAGAAACTTCCTAGAAGCTTATCTGGGAAAAATACTTGGTATTTTTAAACTAAATATTTGGTCTAGAAGAGAGTCACGCATGTACGCATGTGATCAGAGGGCAAGAGAGCAGGCCTTATGATGAGAGGCTGAGAGCTATGGGACTCTTCAGCCTGGAAAAGCGCAGGCTCAGGGGGAACCTGGTGGCAGCCTATAAGTACATCAGGGGTGTGCATCAGGATCTGGGGGAGCGCCTGTTCACTAGAGTGCCCCAAGGGACAACAAGGTCAAACAGTCATGAACTCCTCCAAGACCGTTTCAGGCTGGACATAAGGAAGCACACCTTTACTGTCTGAGCCCTCAAGGCCTGAAACAGACTGCCGCCAGAGGTGGTGCAAGCACCTACTCTGGACTCCTTTAAGACACATTTGGGTGCTTATCTTGCTGGGATCCTATGACCCCAGCCGACTTCCTGCCCCTGGGGCAGGGGGCTGGACTCTATGGTCTCCCAAGGTCCCTACCAGCCCTAATGTTTATGAAATCTATGAAACACATGCAGCAGTGTAATTTACACCCGTGTATTTTTACACCTGATTTTTCCTACCAGATTCAAGGAAGTTACACTGGTGAAGGACTGTATGTCATGTGTCTACTCTTTATTTTACACTGGTGTAAAGGCTGATTCCACTAGTGTCAATGTGTTGTGTGTCTGAGCCCTTCATATGAGGTAACACTACAAATTCTTGTTGCCATAGCCACATTGGGGGTGGGGGAGTGAGGAAATGTGCTCTCTAACCAACACAGCTGTGATGGCAAGAGCTCTTCGTGCATATGCAGTTATATTGACAAAACTCTGCTTTTACCAGACAAGTTCCTTTTGTTCCACAGGGAGAATAAGAGAGGCGGCTGCAATACATTAGACTTGCAAATGTGCATTTTTGCTGATATAAGCTGCATCTATGTAAACCCCATCACTGTGTCCTTACCTTCACACTAGTCTCCAAACCAGATAAGACAGGAGAGCTGAGGGACAACCTGGCAAGACATCTCTAGAACACCTCTAGCCTCGACACATGGAAGAAAAGGACATTATTGTTAGCTTCCTGTGTTCTCCTGAACAGACTAAACTTCAGGCTTCATTTACATTTTTTACTACACCCACAAGAGTCACCAGAATGGTTTCTTCATAAGCCAGAAACGTGGGGAGTACTTGATATAGATGAGAGATCTATTTCTACAGAGATATCAGTGTTTAAGGGTGGGATAAGAAAACACTTGACCATGATAGGCTGTCAGAAGAGCAAGGCTCTTGGCTGAAGAATCAGGACAGTTGAGTGTTGGTAGATGCAATGTGCAGCAGTAGGTGAATCTGAATGCTAAAAGCACAGCCCAGACTCTCAGTAGTTAAATCTTTTTGCCTCATATATACTTTTGATACATTTGAAGGGCACGAGATGCTGCCTTGGTACTGCCTTTGAGGTTACAGTCTGCACTACTGGTTTGGTGGTGTTACTCCTCATGTCTGTTAGCCACCACTTTTAGTCTGAAAGTGAGACATGTAGAAGTTACTAGTGTGGATAAGAGTTTGTTGCCACATATTGAATATCCTTAACTGTTATCTGTTTTCAGTGTAGGCATTCTTAGGTGTGCAAGTTTGGATTGCTTTCTAGTTTGGAAAGCTTGGACTGAACATATCTGGACCTTTTCCCAGAATCTGATCATCAGCTTCTAATAGCAATGATAATATTCCAGCTCATAACATCTCAGAGATGAATGCTTGATGCTTCAAAACGTTTAAACCTGGATAACCTTAATGATGAAGCAGTAGCTAGCAGTTATGCTCTAGCAGCCTCCAACAAACTCTCTAGGCTGGCTGAACAGCTGTCTCTGGCAGAGGGAAAGTGGACCTTATTTTGGATTTTGATTGCAGAGATGGTGAAGAACAGTTAGGATTTAAAGAGCATGAAGAAGAAACATTGGATTAAAGATGATACTATCAAACTATGGGAGAAAAGAGAAAGGCACAATATAGAAAGGAGGCACTAGTAGGACAAAATCAAATGAGCGAAAAGAAGAAAAAATGACCAGTAGAATGAAAGAAATATATTGCCTGAACTGTTAGGAGTGCTTGTCATAAGGCTCATAATGAATGGTTGGGACAAAAATGGCACAGTGCATTGAGGAAGTCTCCAAGAGACAGGATCAGAAATGTGTATATGAGACACTGTCCTAATTGGACATTTATTCTCACAGTTTCTGCCAATTAAGGATAAAAATGGAAAATGCTGGCAGGATATTAATGTACAGCTAAAGCATTGGTGCGAACATTTCTGTGAATTAATGAGCAGATCTCCAACAAGATGTGAACTGCTGTCTGATCTGAAAAAGACCTTGGCAGAAAATAGGCCAGTGATGCACACAAACAGTTATGGGATGATAAAGCACCAGGATTTGACAACATCTTACCAGAACCATGGCAGAGAGGAGGTGTGAATTTAGATTGCTGGCTTCACAGCATCATCTCAAAGACTTGGGAAACCTGTTGATGTCCAGAAGATTGGAAAAGTTTCAGAAAGGGAGTGTGATCGGCTTTCACACATTGTAGTGCGGTGATTCTCAACCAGGGTGATCTTTTCAAGAGTGTTGTGATCCTTTCAAGGGTGTTGTGGGATGCCATACAATGCTAGGACTGTTAAGTTTACAGTGATTTACAAGATAAACCCAGGGATTTACACTAGAAATCCATAGTTCTCATTTTTCTGAGTTCTTTGCAAGAGAAAAAAATGCTCTATTTTTTTTCCATAGGTAAAAAAAGAGTGAACACTTAAGAGCTGACATGTTCTAAGATCTGCCTGAAGTCTGTCCAGGTGCCTTGAGTCTAAAAGGGTTGAGAACCACTGCTGTAGAGGAATAACATTGCTGCCAATCTTAGGAAAGACATTTAGGATAATGCTACTGAACAGACTAAAATAATATTTAAATCCCGAAGTAAGAAACAACCACCACCATTTCCTTATTGGTTGATTTACTTTCCACACCACATACACTTTGAAGTCTGTTACTGAAAACTGACTGGAGTTACAAAAGAACATTCATACCATGTTTATAGTCTTTGCAACTGCTTTGGACTCAGCATATCAATCAGCACGGTGACTGGATGATACTGGGTGGGTTGCCTGAGGATTTAGTGTGCCAATGACAGAACTTCCCAATGTACAGTTAGCTGTGTTAGTAGTGGCTGCACTATGGATAGATTTTCAGTACAACTATAGTAGGGATATGTCTTCACTACAGGCTTCTGTTGGCATAGCACTGCCAGCTGGAGTGCGAGGACGTACAATGCCTGACTGACACAGTTGTGCTGGTAAAAGCCCCTAGTTTTACAGATATGCCAGCCAAACTACACCTTAACCAGTGTAGTTTGTCTTCCTGTCTGGATGTAGTTTTGCTGTACAAAATGCAACCATGCTACTCTGTCTGCATCTACCTTATACTGATACCCCAATATTCCTGTACACTAGAAAGCTCTCTGTAACTCTGGCTTTACAGGAATAAGCTGTATGAATAGCTATGCACCTCTATACTGGCATGATTGGATCTGCACAAGAGGGATGGTATTGATTTAACTTGATCTAGTTACAGCGATACAGTTTTTGTGTGGACTAGACCTTAGGGCCCTTTTTTTATTTGTCTCCGCTGCCACAGGTGCACAGCACTGACTCAGTCCTTCTCCTCTGTCAGCTGCCAAGACAGTTTCTATATCTACTCTCTCCCTGGAACTCTGTTGCTTTCCTTTCACCCTCTGCCTCTTGCCTGTCATTCATACTCATCTCCTCTCCTCTGTACAGGTAACATGGATCGGCATCACTACGAGACCTTTGAGAAGTTTGGTAACGACACCTTCCTGCTGCACCTGGACAACGGGCGAGGGTAGGGTGGGGAAGGTGGACTCTTGTTGATGTGGAGAGCTCTGTGTGTGGAGAGAGCAGGGAAGGCTTTCAAGCTCAGTACTGTTTCTCTGTAAGGAGAGGTCTCTTCCCATGCAGGGAATGGTGTGAATTACCAGCCACTGCTCACTTGACATTTAGTGTCATTGCCATGTTGACTGTAAGGTGTCTGACTAGAAGGTACCTTGCCAGGGTTGACAGTGCCTAGTCTACAAAGGGGCATATCAGATCCATCCACAGAATTGACCCTTTGTGTTTCCCTGATTTCTCTTTTTAGATTTGGAAGACATTCTCATGATGAAATGTCCATCTTGGCCCCCCTCCAGCAGTGCTGCAGGTAATGGCTCTCCCTGCTCCCTCCATCCTACCTTCATACACCCCAAGTACCTTGTTTACAGAGATGGACCCAGCCTCATCCTTCTAGTTTGGAAATAGAGCCGGTTGGCATGACTAAATTTGAGACACTGGTCATGTGGCGTGAAATGGCTCACCTCTTTATGCCACCATAACCTATGTCTACACTTCCCCGTGTAATCTACCAGCACCTCCTTGTATTTTGGTGGTGAGTGAAGTGATTCATTCATACAACATTTGCCAACGGCTGTGGGACCACTCAGGATGGGAGGCATGACATGTATGTTGGGGTTGTTTTGGTCACATCTCTGGCTGACATTTCTCATCTCTTCCCCTTCTCTCCCTTTCCTCCATCAACACCATTAGTATAAAGAAATCAACATACTTGCGCCTGCAGCTGCTGGCTACGGAAGCCTATCGCCTCAGCGATGTCATGCGGGAGTCACTGGCCTCCGACCGCCTCTCCCCAGTCCTATCAGAGCCTCACTTGGAGGCACTGGACCGGCGCCTCCAGAAGGTGTTAGACATGGTGAGGGAGTGTATGGTGAAGGAAAGCCGCAAGGAGGTGCTGGTGGATGACATGGGGAATCGTAAACACGGGATACGGCAGCGCAAAGAGGAGAAGCGAGCACAAGCGTGACAGGGATGGTTAGGCACCCCCTTGCCTCTACACTACTCCCCAAGGCTGCCTCTGCCATCAGGATTCTCGCTAAATGGCAGGCAAGACTGGTGCCCAACCCAAAAGCCCTTGTTGATCGTCTATAGCAGGGGTGTAGCCCCTGTGTCATAAACCCACCCCAAAAGCAAGAATGATTTGGGGGTTCAGAGTGTCTCATGCACCAATATTTGTCCCCAGTTTGGTTTAACTACCTTTCAGTCTCTCTCAAAAGCTAATGATAAGCTGCATTCATTTGTATCACTTGTATCACTGTGTGGAACATGCTGTTCTGTAGGTACTGGTATGTGTCCTTGCAATTTTGTGTCATAAGTTATAACTTAATCAAAAAGTTATAGCCTGATCCCTAGTTAAGGACTGTTTTGCCTGTGGTATGCAGACCTAATGAACAGGGGGAAGGCAAAACTACTTGGTATTAGGGACCAATTGCTTTACAAAGACAAGAGCAATTACCACTCCCAGACACATGGCAGAAAGGGCTATTGTTGCAAAGGGCACCCAAAATAGGGATGATTTTAATCTGCCTGCAAGGAGAAACATCAGCCCCAGGACAACAAGTGCATTCCAGGGAGATGGGCCAGTACATGGGAGAATTCCAGACATCCCAGGGAGCAAAGAAGTCTCTGGAGGATTTTGATATACCCCAGAAAATGGATAGTGCAGTAGAGATTGGGGGGTGAAGGGGGTGGGACCTTCTGGTAGAGAATAGCAAATATAGTACTAATATTTAGGAAAGTGGGGCAGGGAATGTAATTCAACCTATTAGTCAGAATTCAATGGCATGAATGGCTTTAAAACCAATTCTGAATAAAGACAGAGGTAAAATGAAAAATAAAAACTGCAATGAGAAAAGATGAGACTAAAAG